ATATATAAGGGCAACCTAACGCACAAAAGCAACCTTAAGAATCTAGGGGTGCTACGGGGATTCAACCAAAGAACTTCTTCTAATTAAAGTGTTTTTATTTGCAATGTACTTATATAATTAATCTTAACTAAAATGATGTCTTCTGCCCATTTCTTAGTCTTAATACGAAGCGTTAAACTCAAAAAAAGTTTATTTTGCGTATGCCAGAATCGACAACATCAACTACGTACAATTTCATAACTGGTTGTTTTGTTAGTAAACTGACAAACCTAGGTACGTCTCCGCATTTATATTACTTACTTTAGTTTACAATAGTTCGATTAAATATGACGAGTGTAGATTATAAGTAGGTATGGGACAATTTAAACAGTTATTTGTGAATTCTAATGCATACAGTTATTCTAACTGTCCCATTGATAGTCAGTAATATTTGGAAGTTAATTATCTAGTGTCATAAACATAGTTGAAAGAGTCTGGAGTACCGTTTAGAAACTTTTTTTGTGTACCATACTCTATTGAACAATAGGGTATTTGAATCAAATTTATGTTCCTTCAATTAGTTGAGGCGATTATGCTGAAAATTTATCTGAACTTCTTTTCCGATTTCTAAACTAACGCCAGCGGGGCAAGCGCGGCAAAAAGCGACTTCAACGAGAGCGACATAAAGGCGAGATCTCTAAGTGAGATTTTTTTATATAAAACCAAGTGACGGGACGAACAAGTCGTGGACCTGGTGGTGGCGACACGCCTGTCCCTTGCAGCTACTTGGCGACTGAAAAAGGTGACAATACTTCCATGGACGAACTCTTTTACAAGGAGCTCTACTGCTATTAAATGAGAATAGCAGTATCCCGCGCTTTATGTCGCTCTCGCGCAAGTCGCGCCCTGTCGTGCCCTACGGAGATTTTAATATGTCACAACATTGACTTACAAATAAATGGACGACGGGTCTAATACAAAAACCACGAAAAAAATGTCCCAAGTCAACCTATTCGAAATTTAAATTGTAATGTCATCGCAGTATCGCGCTGTCAGTAGAACAAATGAAGACTAAAGCGGAGTGTCGCGCTCTGTATACGATTTTAGCGCCTTACAAGTGCGGACACTTTTTAGCGCGGACCCGACGACGTCCATATAATTGTAAGTCAATGTGTCACAATGTATTTATACTTCGTTTCAATCCATTTTCAACAAAATGTAAACAAACTTTGTCACTGACCCGACGACGGTTTAGTGATGACCAATTGTAATGCCAACTACAAATCGAGTAATTAATTGAATGAATCGATTTGTTCAATTGAGTCATACTAGCGGTTTTCGCTACATAACCTATATAAGCATATTTAAAATTTCAGTAATCCGTAAATCCGTATTTTAAGTCTTCCTTCAAATCCTTACACTTAGATACTCGTTCGATTGCAATTGAAATATTCTATTTACTAAGCGATTACAAAAGCTTTAATTGAATGAACTGAATTTTTTTTTTCGTACAGCACTGCAACCATAGACAAGTCATAGATGTATAGATGAAAAATAATCTCACTTTTGGACTACCATTTTTCAAATACAATTTTACGATGCTATTCAAATAAATATTGTTCGGAAAAGTGATTAGATATCAAGTCGAAATCTTCGAAATACACGTGAAAGTGTTACTTATTCAATTTATTGAGTGATTGCTTTAGAATTTTAACCAAACAGTTTTAAGTATACAACTTTTTGTTGAAAATGGATTGGAACAGACTATACAAGATTTGTCAAAGTCGACTTGAATTATACAGGGTGTAATAAATTGGTGTAATCATAATTCATTGGATATAATAGTACTAAAAATTATCTTCATTTAAATTTTTTTCTGATTCTATTCTTCATTAAAGTTTCCTCAGACCCTTTCTTATAAATTAAAACTACTTATATTACCACGATTAAATAGAACACTTATTTATCAAAACTCTTCACAATCATTCAAGCGTTTTAAATTTTCAAATATTTATGACACCCTGGATACAGTACAGGGACCTAGGCATTATATAAACTATTGGATCACGATATAATAACTGGTGATCGACAAAGAAGTCCATGGCACCCAAAGTTGTCATAGATTTCATTTCATGGGACCTGTGAGTGGTCAAAAACATCTAAAACAGTTATTACACAAATTGAGCGCTGTAATAAATAACGCCAACAAGTTTCTATTGTTTCACCCGTACAACATTTATGAATATAACTTGCAATTTTGACGAAATGGGATTATGTACATCACAAATCATTTTGTAATTTGTAATGTAGAATTCTCGGCCTGCAGACTTATTCCCAGTACGCTATAAATTGTGCGTTTTGAAGGCGAGAATAAATAGGCATTATTCAGGTGTGCATGCTCCATTGTCGAACTCATTATCACTTTTAAGCACTTTTTTTTATAAAATCCATAAACATTCTGAATCGAATTTCGTAAATAACTTTCTTTAGTTAAACCTGTAAGGCCGGCGACATATTGTCGGAATCCCGTTAAAACATACAAATCACGGACTTACCACACACAAACAGTTTTTATTATTATTATGTCCCGTTTCAACATTTTTCCCATTCTAAATTCCGTGTCTTGTCCATTTGGAATTCAGCACGGAAAAAGCCGTCCCGAATTTAAGTCATCGACAGATTTTGTAAGGCCGCAACACACAGTCGTAAATAAGACACAATGCCTCGCGTCTCTCAGTCGAGTTTTGTTATTCCGAACAGAAATAAACGTATGTGTGTGATGTATATAAGGAATCACGAATCGACATTCCGAAACGAAATTTCGAAACGGAATTCCGACTGTATGTGGCCGGCTTAAATTAAGTCTTTTCGTAATCATCTCAGTACAGAGTACTAAAAAAACCGACCTCAAAAGTATGTGGAATTACGTCTATTTGCTAAGTTTTATTGAAGTATCGTTAAATTCGTCACTATACAGGACTTGACACTGGAGATGATAAAAATCGGTTCTCACTACTCAAAGTATATTGAGAGAAAAACGCCTTGAATTGGAGAAATAGCTAAATCTACCATTAAAATAATTGGTCCTTAAGTAAAATTTAGGCGCTACTTATAAAAATGAATCTTCATACGTAAACAGCCACCCTTAGAGGTGGATGATTTTCTTCAAAATGAAATGGGACCACTATGGAAGTACCCCCTTTCCAACAAAAAAAGAATCATGAAAATCGGTTCACAAATACCGGAGTTATGCGATAACATAACAAAAAATAAGGTACATACATACAAAAAAACATAGTCGAATTGAGAACCTCCTCCTTTTTTAAAGTCGGTTATTAAAGAGGACGACATAACTTGGTAAGTATAATGTGGCGGATTTGAGTTTACGCGTGAGCAATACCGGTCTATAGTGATAAGGAAAAGTCCAGAGCTCAGTTACAGTTTCAGCAGCAACTATTCATGACAAAACATGGGTAAGTATTTCAACTAAAGTTCAAAATACACCAGTCAGAATGTCGCAATCCTTAACTCCTAAATTATCAAGCGAAAGAAGATTACAAATACAATAGGCGGAACAAGAAACAATTTTAACGTCTTATGTTGACAAGAAAAATCAAAATTATTGCTATTTTTCAAACAAACAGTTAACATGCTGGTCAGCCATGCAGAGGTACCGGGTTCGATTCCAGGGCCGAGGGAAATATTTGTAATATTTATACATTTGTAATATTTGTACATTTATTTCTATTGTGAGTTTGGGTGTAATTTGTGTGTTCGTGGCACCCGCGACACAGAGTTTCCCCAGTGAGAGGCTATGAGTGTGTTCGTTGTTATTGTTTACAAGAGTGTAATGAATTGTAAGATAATTTAGAAGATATACATTAATAAATATAATATCCTCAGCCTTTCCTTTAGTCGGTATGCGCTGGCCCTCATACATCATCTGAAAGCAGCGAATAATTTTTCGACTATTGTCCGCCTTTTTTTTAGTGACGTAATGATGACGTGTTGCCGGTATGCAAAAACTACATCACGTACGACATGACATTTGAACATACATTCATAAGACGTGATTTTCAAAAACCGTAGTTTTTAAAATAGCTATGACTCCAATTTTCCCCATAAATGTCGATCGGAATCCTATGAAAAAACTACGCAATATCACCTAAGTAGACAAATAAAAAAGGTGTAACCAAAACAAGTTTGTGTACAATATAAATGTGGACCACTGTACTTATCTCTCTATTACTAAATAAATCGACCAAATAGAAGTGTATTAATCGACTACGCCAAAAGAGGGCAAATACATTTTCCAGAAGTTTCTTATCAAACCATATCAATGCACAATCACACCGCTCAACAATATTATTATTCACAACGTTATACATATTGCTTTAAATATTATAGAAAGGCTTTTTATTATTTTACTAAGAATCTCTGACCTGCTATTATAGTCATTATAAGAGTTATTTACAACCTCGAAGTTTTGAGTAAAAAAAAAAGTATAGGGTAAAGGCCCATTTACACGGAGAATTTCCCGTCTCCAAATCACGATTATCGAAAGAACGTAAAAGAAGATTAGTCCCATAAACATCGCCGTTGCACTTGGACGAATCGCCTCGCCACCGACTCATTGAACGTCTCCGTGTAAACAGAACAATATTGTAGTAATCACTGAACTCGAAAGACTTAATCTCTCATTCAAAAACCGCTTTGAGTGAAAGATTTGTACGATATGAACTTGAAATGTCATATGAAAGCGTATTTATACAAGTTGAGGATTTGTAAGCAAGAATCGTTTTCATTATGTCGTAACGTTTTATTTCTTTCGGACGACTGTCGCGTCTAGCCTGTCACGACTATCTATCTATATAGCTATCACGACTAACCGTCGTGACTATGTCGTGGATGTTTATTTTATCGTTGAACGACCGTCGTGTTTAACTCTTCCCACTAGATCGTGACGACAATTATCGGTTCACGACGACAGAATCGTTTGAAGCTACGATTATCTGTCGTCACGACATAATAGGAACGCGCCCTTACTTGCAGATCTTGTAAGAAACGTAGGCGAGATTTTAGTTCTTGTATGTCAATAAACATTACAATACGACAATCTTATGGCGATTATTGCTTGCGATAAAGTATGTCCATCTAGATGGCCCTTTTACACATTTGTGTTGAAAGAAAAACTACAGGAGAATTTGTAGAATACCGAACTTTTAACAGAATTTTTAATTGGAGATAACAAACTGACAACTACTGTCACTTTGAACAATTTTTTGACGTGAATTTTGTATCAGTTCTCATTGGAAATTAAGAATGTTATTTTCTTTAAACTTATCTTTTATTACTTGAATATTGTGCTATATCTATTTAGTAAATCGGAGCCAATATAGTAACGGAACCAATAAATTAATATTAACGGTCCGGAGTTTATTTTCAAACAACACATGAGACTATGTTTTAAAAGATAATATAAAAATTTTGTTAAACTGTTGGTTCAATCTGCTAGAAGCAATATACTACGTTTTAAACGCGAATTTTTATATATAAAAAATCATATTGACAAATATATTACCAATCCATAGCGTTAAATTGCATATTATAGATATAATAGGTAATTTTGGCGATGATTGTCACTATAATTGATAAAATTAACTTGATTTTTTTTGGGGCTTATATTACTCGTAACAGTAAATGTCATCAGAATTATAAATGTCGATGTAGCTATAGCTAGATCGCTATAAAATGTAACCAATCATCACCCATCGATTTGCGGGGCGCAGGAAGGGAAACCCGCTTGACCAAACATAAGAGCTCGATTCGCGCACAGCACGAGCAATTACGGATGATGATTGGTGGGCCTCCCTGATTGGCCGAATTTTGACAGTTACGCATTTGTCCTGTAGTGCTAGCGTTGTTTTACCCCTACATATCCCATTTTCATATCAATCTCTCTTTTTAATCCAATTTCAGTTTCTTGCTCGGGGTTTCCATTACATCCAAAGCATCTGCTATGCATAAGCTGACTGGTCTTTTCATTTTAGCATCTGCTTTCATGTTTTTTGTCAGATTTGACAGATGGCGTATCTCGTTCGTGATTCCGCGAATCTTGGCCATGGTTGACGCGCTTTTGGCCTTCAGTATCTGGGTGCTTGTCGAAGGAGTCGGTTCATCGAGTTTTGGCATCTTGGCTGGAGGCTCCGAGTCGTCCTCGGAGAGACTTGGCAGTTTGATCATTGGCTTGCGCGGTTTAATGTTTGGCAACACTGGAAAGAAAATATATTTAGATTATTAAGGCTGACAAATTAGGATTTTGGCATAACTTATGTACATAATATAATGATCAATTATATTATGTAAATAAATAAATATTTAATTTAATTGACATCTCTGATCCTAAAGTAACTAAAGCGCTTGTGATGGAACTCGAAAACAACGACGGCACCACAATCACCCAGACCCGACACTATATAGAAAAGTCAGTTTTCTACAATGCCGCGGCCAGAGATCGAACCTGCTGCCCTCAGAAACACTACGAAAACCGGTGTGCAAATTATGTACACATAGCGCAGTTACTTCCTGTCTGCCTGTACCACTAGCATGAGAGTTTTTAGTGATAGTCATCGCAGAGCGCCTAAAATATTTTGTATACAAAATGTTACTTCTTTATGTAACTTCGCCATACGGCAATGGCACAGTCGGCCTGGATCAGGGACTCGAGTTCAAGAACCGGTGAATGGTGCGTGACTTATTAAAATAGCACTTGTTTTGATATTGAAAGTCAAAACAAACGCTACCATTTCAGGGACCAAAATGGTCATACATTCTGCCTACCAAGTTTATTCACATTATTATGCTGTTCGAAATATATTTTTAATAAATTAAACAACTATATTAAATAACTAGCATGGATCGCTTTGTTTAGAAAGTCTCACGTAAAGGGTATGTGAAATGGACTGATCAAAGTGAATTTAACTCGTGGTTAATTTTTTGTTAACGATGACAGACGTCTCAACCTACGGAATTCTCTGTACTACGAGTAAAGAGCAAATTATCCGAAAACCAAAAAATGAAAAAACAATTTAAAAGTTGTATTCTGCCTTTTTGAAGACGGAGTAATTAACATTTATAGGGTTGTCAGTTTTCATAGAATTTTAAATAGTTACGTAGTTGTTGTCGATAGTTTTATCGATAGATTGTGAAAGGGAAAATTTTGCCAAAAATTACTGAATTGTGATTGTTACGACGTTCTAATGATTACTAATTGCGTTATTACTTTCTTTATTCTTATTTTGACAGTTGGCCTACTAATATCGAGGTCTATTATTATTCGTTCACATTTTAACAAGAATAGCCGGATTTGATTACCTATACCTCCTCTTTGTATTTTTCATTAACATGGTTCTAAATACAGTGTATATATATCTACGAACTTACAAAAATTGACAATTCAAGAATAGAATAGAATACGTTTATTTGCCAGAATACAGTATTTATACTTACGGCACTTTGTATTCAACCTGCACGCAGGTGTGCAAGTGGTAATGGTATTTCACATTTGTCTCTACAATTACAAAGCAAATCGCTTCGAATTAATATCAATTGGTATTTGTAACTTCTAAATATTCTTTATTACTTTAAAAGCAATGAGTCAAAAACCATTCAATTGTGATTTAAAAGTAAGTCCTTGTAGTGATTTAATTGCGTTAGATAAATTATTAAAAAAATCTTATAAATATATTGAAGCAGTTATTCTTATGAACGAGGTTGTGTCAATTTCTTTTCATTTTAAATAATCTTTGAAATCATATATACGCAGATCACATAACAAGATAAATAATTTATTTTTAAATATGTTTAAGGATTAAATGAACTTGTGCTCAGTAATTGGATGAATAATGGGTCGAGGGTGATACAAATGAAACAAGTTCGGCTACTTATTCCATAAGCGTGATCAATATTTAGTCGATAGTTGAAAGAACATATATCGACTGCAATCACTAGCTGCTCGCCAGCGGGCAACACTTGCACAATGAACTTGGGGCTTGTCGGCGTTGATTTCTCAATATCCATATACACTTTCAATTCAGCAAAGACAACGAAAAGTAATTGTCAGGTCGTGCAAGGGACTCCTGAAAAAAGCTTAAAAGCAAAGAGAGAAGAGCTACAGCGACAAGAGCTACACTCTTCAAACAGCAAATCCAATATTTGTCGAAAAATATTTTGGATGTTTCTGGAAACGTCAGTTGCTCCACCTGTAAAAATGAGTTTCTTGAATTTCACTCAAGCGACGTTACCACTCCCCCACAATGAATGCGAGACCTCGGAATCGGATGGGGCAAATTCCAATTACCGAATCGCTTTGATACGTTAAGGGTAAGGCCAGACGATCGTAATCTTTTGAGAATAGAGTCGCATTTTTTGAGACGGATTCATATTAGAGCTGTTACACTGTAACACTGGCAGCGATCGCACAAACGTGCGTACTATCGTTTTTTAAGCGGTTGCACCAATATTGTATCGAGATCGTATCACTACAGCTGCGGACTAAAAAATATGGAAATTCCTTAAGCCTCGATTACTTTCAGAACCGCTGTGATCAAAACTCACACATTTATAATTTAAAACACTATGAATTCTTATAATGATTGATCGTAGTTTCAAATTTAAAATGAAACAACAAGTTCTGGACTGTTAATATAATTTAAACTTTAACCTGTTGGCATATCGTTGAAAGTTCAATCAACAACTATTATTAATGCAAATTACAGCGTTTTGGTTTTATATTGGAATTTCAATCAATGTGCTGCCATCTAGCGGTTAATAACTAAACGACGACGAATTCGAGATGTCTATTTAATTCTCCAAAATAGAAGCGACCATATTGCAGCGGTCGGTATAAGTTTTATTTTAGTTTCTTGTGACAAAAAATAAATACGACGAACAGAGAATTTATTAAAAATAAATATATAAGACTTAATAATGATACGAAACACCACTATAGATAATAATTACAAACGCGACTTACATTTTTGCACTTCAACGTAGCGAAATAAGGTATTTTTCTACGATTTTCGAGGTTTTGCACGAGGTAATTGACACGACAATAAAGTATAAAGCGAAAAATGGCAATGGCATTTATTGTTGTCATCTGGTAGTATTTCATAAATTAATCTGGATGTTTACATAAATTTTCATATATAATATATGAAACTGCCAATACGTTAATCTTTCCACAATAAACGGATGTACCCAGCTTCGTTTGTAATGCTTCAGAATTGCACACTACTTTTAATGGATCCGTATATACAACACAAACCCCAGTACAAACGCTTAAAAGCAACTGAATAAATTACGTTCCTCTGGCGCCCCCACAGAATGTCAGTCGAACGTAAATTACGAGACTTAAAAGACGCGACTCACATCTCACAAAATTACGCTCATCTGGCCTCACCATAAAAAATTGCAACAGGGCACGCACGTTAAAGACAGATTCTTTATCACCCAGCGGGCAGTATTGCGCCTGCGCATTCATTGTGAGCAGGGCCTCATGTACTCACGTTTGTTCTGGTGGCGTTTATTAGTGCCAATGGGCAAAACCGACAGGTCCAGCTTGATCTGACTCCCAAAATGACGTAAAGGCTGCGCGGCCGGCGGGGCTGCGTCCACTTCTGCGCCCGTCGGAGCTGAACAGACACACGACCGACTTTAGTAAAGGTAAATTGCTCAAAATATTATCAATCAGAATGCGTACTTCGGGGAACGCTACCGAACACTACCACTACTTGGGAAATAGATTCATAACAAAGTGACCAGAAAGTAGCTGAAAGCGGAAGGGGCAAGGAAGGAATCCAAAGGTCGCTGGTTCATATCCGGCTCGAAGGACCAATGATCGGAGCGGTGGTGATTGCTGTTATGGATTGTGGAAACACAGGGTAAATTTACAAACTTTACAGGCGAAAATATTACGAAATGCTCTTTAGTACAGGCGTACCATTAGACAGTTCCATTGATGGTACAGAGGCAATTTTGTTTGCCATTGGCCCATTAATGGCACCGTGGAATTTTTGTTTTCGCCCTCGATCACCCGGCATTGTAGTGCACGTTTTTTTGCAGTACAAATGTTACCGAATAAACAGTGGCGCATACATTAGATATAGAACCGTTCACACGGTGTTTGTCCTGCAAAGAAATATACTGTATACGTTTATCGAATACAGAATAGAACTATAGTATCGTATTCGGTGTGCAGTGGCACATAGTATTAATGCATCTCTTTCACACGCCGCGAAGTCACACGTTCTTTATCGAGTAGGCACGGAACAAGCGGCGTCTAGTATAGAAGCATTCGTATCTCGACCCCTCCTACGTAGAGTATCATATGTTGAAATTGTCAAGTTTACACGGGAGCGTTTTAAAGTTTTGAATTCACTGAAATAAATATAATTATAAAATAAATTGTGGTTGTTCATCTAACCGATATCTAGGATTTTATAATACTCTATGTGCATAACGAGTATTGCCGAATAGAACTGAGAAATGCTAGTCACGTGTTATGCTATAATACTTTACGTAGCAGGGGTCGATTATTTTTGGTAACCTCGAATTCTTCACAGTTTTAATAAGTTGTCAAACCTACCTACTGACATCCGAAAGTAATACAAAATTTTTTTTCATAATTTCCGTTGGCGTCTTCTGTGCCCATATAAAAGTGTAACAAAGAGTGGATCCATCACAGACGTGTTCTCAGGGCGATTGCTGTGTGAATACTGCGGCGATTCGTCTATCCGTTTTTAATTGAATACGTTAAAAAGCGCAGGATAATGCCGTGTGAACCAAGGCTGAAAGGGTATCACAACACTTATCGTCGCGGGATCGCCTTGGTCTGACCATATTGTAAATACACAAAAAAATAATTGAATGTCATGGTAGTCAAACATCGTCATATTCAATAAACTTAAAAATTACAATTATTAAAGCGACATATCAGGTCAGCCACTGATAGCTGTAAAACGACCTGGCCGTGTGAAGATATAGATTTCTCACAGATGACGCTACTGCAAAAAAGTCATTAACAACCAAAAACAAATATCTGCAACAAGCACTGAAAAATTCGTAAGATCTGGTTTGTTATTATTTTGGACATGTATTTTAGATCTCGCCTGAAAGATTAATATTGAAGTCTTAAATGGGAGAGGCAGTATTCCCCGGCAATGTCACAGTCGACCGGGGCTCAGGTTAATATTATTATTATGCCTCATCAATATATTATCAAAATTTCGTATATTTCATTAAACTATCGAGTTTTTGCTAAATGTCCCCCAATCTGGGAACGATAAAGTTGCCATAAGAAAAAATCATTTTAATGTGAAACACTCACCAGTGATGGCCTTCCCGCCCACTGCTTGATTGGTGTGCGTCAATTCACTGTACTTTATGTCGCACTCTTCTATACGCTTCTTCAAGTCCCCTGGAAATAACAATAATAATATAAATATAAAAAAAACTAGCAGCCTAATGGTTTGACATACTGTCTCTCTAAGTTTCTTTTTAATTTGATATTTACCATGAGCTTTTTGGTGAAGTAAAACTTAGTGAGGAAACCTCCCCACATCTGCAAAACAATTTAATGTTGTGTGCGAAGTTTCCAACCCGCATTAAGCCTAAGCCCTCTCACAAAGGTGAGAAGCCTAGGCCCAGCAGTGGAACTTTATATAGATTAACTATAATTATGTACAGGCCTTCGGGTATACAACCAGAAATAGAGACGAAATGTCATTTAATTTGTTTGAAAAACTATTCTGCCAGTATTCTGCAAATAAACTATTCTGCGTGTTCTATTTAGTACAGTTGATAGAAAAAAAATGGTACATGTAAAGTACTTTTGAATACAGCGGTTTTCTTGTAAAACTTCGAGGTACGTTTGTTTGTTTTGTATCGTGAAAATCTTTAGGAATCGTGTTTTCACACCTACCGTATTACTCGGTGTATATCCCCAATTTGACAATATATTTTTTCCAAGGTGATTGATTCAACAATTCCACTGTTTTGCGGAATCAACCAAAACCATGTGAGGTTTTCTCGACTCTAAAACAGCCGTTTGTTTATTGACGTCTTATTGTATAGACAAGCAAGCTTTCTCAGACTGACTCCAGCCGAATGTATGTTAATAAGTGTATCACCACATTGTACATAGTTCTTACCTATTGTTGCATCCTGTTCCCTCTGATGTTTTGTAAACTCTCGAAGCATCTTGCGTTGACGCAATGCTACCTTCTTGTACTCCAACATCTGAAATAATAATGAAAAACATCTTTCTTTCCAGGCCCTATTACAGGTTCCATGGTTCACGGCTGACTGAGATGGTAAAGTCATCAACAATGGTCGGAAAAAGGTGTTCCACATATATAGCTACATATGTAGATATAGCTAGAAGGAGCGGCATAGTTGTTAAAACCACCAAATATTAATTAATTACTTTTTCGAATTCCAGATTTCCGGAAATAGTTTTACTGCATCGTAAGACAAAACTACTGACCTAACAAGTCGACGTGGGATTTTAAAGTGATTCTAATGGTGCCATGTAAAAAAATGCAGTAGATAACCCTTTTACCAAAGCAGAAAATAAAGAAAGTAACGTGAATGGTCACTCTCCGCCTCTGCCTAGCCTTAAGATACCGCATGGCGCACCGCATATTGACGGTCACATTGACGGAACGGCAACAAGGCTGTCAATTGAATATGTGGAACACCTTTTTCCGACCTATAGTCATCAACCAAGTCTATCTAATATTAATACAAAACAACCTTACTATAAACTATAGTTACAAAAGTTATTAATTTAAATACTTAATTTTTTAATTTACCAATCATACCAATTTACGCTACGTACGTTTTTATAACAATATGAACACGTCATTTATATACGAATACAAATGGCATTTCCAATGTTTATTTCTTAGCTAATTGAAAAATATAACTAATTTTATTTATAATTATTAATACAAAGATTGAACAATAGCGTCTTCAGCATACCTGGCGTGGAAGGATTTTTTTAGTGTTGACGTGTTAATAATTATAACAAATTAGAGGAGTAAAACAAATTCCCACCTTCTTATAAAACTTCTTGTACTGCGAGGCCAGGTATAAAGAGAGCTTGGCGTTTAATAAAGATCGACGACGAAGGTGTATCATCTCATGGCGTATCTGCAGAGGTGCTATGGTCACTGTAACAGGCATCAGTGAGCATGTGAGCTATTTGCTAAAGTTTTAATTTTTGTGATGATGGTGGTGAAAATACAAACACATGGGACTTAATTATCACGTCTTAGGGTGACGTGCGCGGTGGCAGTGCCCCTCAGATCCTTGCGATTTAAGCTCCGCTTACTTGAAAAAAAGGCGGTAAAATAAACGAAAGTGCTTTGCTATTCTTTTCTGTTTTTTTTTTGTATTTTTTGTATTTTCGACGTGACAATGAATGAGACGAGCGATAACGAAAATACAGTAATGGATTGTACTCCTTCTAATTTAAAACAAGAGGCAATATTAATGGAAAACTTGTTGCCGGCTATGAGCAAAGTAAGATACATGAAAACTTATGACACTTTCACACAATGGAGAAGCGAAAAAAATGATAATTCGTTTCAGAGACTGCGTTTGTAGCTTACTTTAGCGAAGTTGCTAAAACTCAAAAGCCATCAACATTATGAGGTACGTATTCCATATTCAAATGTACAGTCCAACTTAAACACAACGTCATCATTAAGGAATACAGTAACTTGGAGTCCCTATTAAAGCACCAATCTGCTGGTTACAAAACTAAAAAATCAAAAATATTTACTGCATAGAACATATTGAGATTTTTAAACGAGGCTCCAGGGGACAATTTTTAACAACTAAGGACTACGTAAGGTTTGTTCGTATATATATCGTAATGTGTAACATTGAAAGATATTAGTTTCAATACAGTAAAATAAACCTTTGTTTGTTTCAGGTTGTTCTAATTTTAGGGATAAACAATGCATGCAGGAATATAGAGCTCACGAATATCATCACAAAGAACAGAAAATCACAATATGTTTATGTATAATATTACACTTTTAACATTAAGTAATTAATATTTCTTTTTTACTTTTTTTATTATACATCTTCCTGTCCTTAGTCTTTTATTATTTCCTCGCATTGTTTTAGAAAAGAACTATATATACCTCGGCGGGATTGCGAGACTCGTATAAAACTCATACTCGTCCTGCAATCCTTTACTTCCCGGCTTATGCAATAATGTGCTATTCTCTGACAAACTCCCCACAAGAAGCCTAACACAATGTGTGGCCGTGACATACATACCGGGCGGGCGTGGCGCAGGCGCAACACTTTCATGCAACCGCTTCCTGAAGGCCGGTGCGATCTTATCGTCGAAATGTTCAATGGCCATTGATGATATGTCCCGGAGTTCTTGAAGGACTTCGTGAGCACGTGGCGGGGTTTTCGACGTTTCCACAAGAGTTAGTACTCTCTTTATTTCGTCTATCACCTGCGGGATACAAGATATGGAAAGAAGAGAATTATATTTATGTTGCCATTCTTTAATGACAATAATTTTGTTACTTCAAGAGAATGAGAATATGGACAACTCAAATTGACGCTAGATAGCTTTTGATGACATCAGTGGCCATACGAGTCACTTTGGGCGCTGGATGCGAAGGTCCCGGGTTCGATTCCCGGTAAAACCAATTCGGGAAACGTACTTTTCTAAATTGGTTCTTCCGTTTTTTCTAAAGTGGTAAATCTCGTTGCTCCAATACTCATTGTACAGGGAATTCCCAAGTTTGAGACCAGGCAACGTATTTATCGGAAGTCATTGTTTGTACGATGAAATTGTTCCGAGCGTAATATAAGTAAAATAATTGAGCAGTGAAATTGCGAGTATACCAAACTCTGGATGGACATTTGAATTTGGAAAAAACGCAGCTAAATATGTAGGCACGATTCATTTCATAGTTCTAATAGAAGACGTACCTTTCCAGGAATAAAGCAACACATGCCGCTGTCAATGAACTTGGAATATGTCATATTGAGCATCGAGATGCGCGTCTCAATCGACGTCAAGATATCGCAGTGGCGTGCCAGGGGATGGTAGCTGAAACATTCAAGTTGTGTGTCTGGACAATTTTCGATTCCTGAACTTTAACACTGGGTACCGGCTTCAAATTGTATATAGGCTATTCAAGGCTAGAGGAAATTTATTTACGATATATCGAAAATATCGATGTTTTGTACAGATATGTTGCAAAATATCGATGCAACATTTCGATATATCACATCGGAAAAATATCGATATTTTTTTTACACAAACACCACTAAAAGTTTTCTTGTTAGCATTTTTTTGGTTCAATAATTTCCAGCAAAATTACTTTCTCATTTCACCCCACTTTTACTTTTATCATTTTTATGCGTAACTTCTAAAAGTTTAAAATTCTGCTTGTTGACAGTTAATGTCATTTTTTTTTTTCACTAGTTACGTTCAGTTTCACGCAAGTACCTTAGGGAAAGAAAACGGTTATTGTTGAACATTTTATAAGATCATTGTGTCAAATTTTTTGAATTGATAATGCAAAAAAAAAATTCTTTAATTTATTGCAAATTACTTTAAATCTCTTTATTTTTAATTATTTCTTTTTTTTCTCACAGTAAATGCCGTTATTTTATTGTCGGGTTTAATTAGGTACGTAAGCGTGGGATAAAGACAGGAAAAGAGAAGAGAATCATGCACCGATAATAGACTTACCAACCCGCGGCACTGGTAAAAATATCAATGCATAGATACTGCATTTCACAATGGTTACAATAGAACGCCAGAATATTGTGATGAATAATTTTTCACCGACTTGAAAAAAAGGAGGTTCTTAATTCTACTTCTTTAATTATTTTTTTTATTTTAGACGATTACTCCTTGTACTTGTAAACCTATTTCAATGATTTTTTTAAATAATAATGTGACAGCCCTACACTCCGAGCGAAGTGTAGGCATTAATGCCAAACAGGTGGAAGCTGCTTTACTTGTTTGATTATACTATGGTATTACCAAGCTGATAAAGTTACAACAGAAATACAAAAATATCCTCAGTTCCGATATTCAAACTCAAAGAAGATTCTGGAAACAATTCACTTGATTAACTACCAACGCTCCTAACAATGAAAGAGCTAGCATGAAATAATAATAATAATAATAATAATAATAACGCACACACTCAACATAGCCCCGCACTAGGGAAACCCTGTGTCGCGGGTGCCATGGACACACATAGACAACCACAAATTACACCCAAACTCACGAGAGAAATAAATGTAGGCCATACAAATATTTCTCCCGGCCCGGGAATCGAACCTGGGACCTCTGCGTGGCAGTCCGGCATGGTAACCGTTCGGCCACAGAGGCAGTTAAAATGCAACACAAATAACAACAGAGGTCAAGCTAGAATGTCTGCGATAGTTCCGGTACAATTAAAGCAATTTCACACTAGGTCCCGTTTAGGAGTTTCATATAAATCTCGTATAGTTCTTACCGCCGTTCCGATTCACGACGAGGCAGTTGCGCCTTGACACTCTTCAACGCCATGGCGTGGCGACGCTCGATCATGATGAACCCGCGGTTCAGCATGCGGCTGCATATCTCATTAAAGGCTCTGGATACCTGAAAAATCAAAGAAAATTTTGCCTGTGATGATAGATGCCATCAATTTCAGCCTGGTCTTCTGAGCATTAATTTGTGTTTATTCAGTCCTCATACTAAAAAACAAAACAGCAATGCAGCTTTAGTACATTTTTAACCCAAATCATAGCACAGAGCTATGACCTATTTCGCTTGCTGTACTCACAAATTGTTGTTTATTATTAGATTAGGTACTATCTGACTTTACACAGAAAATGGTTTTATTGCAGTGGTTTGAGACATTAATTTCTAAGTAATCTTAACCATAGGATACAGCAGGTGACGAGGCAATGACGCAGCTGATGAACTAGCCAAAAAAGGGTCAGGGATGGACACCGTGCAACCAGAACCAATAGTGTCCCTCCCCATCAATAGTCAGTGCAATATAAATCAAAATCCGAAATGAACGCTCGATGTATAGACGTGGTAGTATTATATTACTTGGTACTTACTCCCCCAGGGTGTACCGGCTACGTCCTTGGGCGTTCTGTGATAACATGTTACCACAGACTGCTCAAAGACTTCGCACACGTGGAGGTGGAACAACTAACACACCCCTAGTATTATATTATAAATGGATACAAAATAAAAGTTATTAAGATATTGTGTGTCTATGATTGTAATATTTTGAATTATCAAAGTATTTCAATTTTAAAATATCTTAATAAAATATTTTTTTCCTTTATGATGTAAATCAAATAATAACAATTAAATATTAACTTAAATTGTCCATTTAAAGGTAAAACCACATAAGCGACATTTTCCACATAAAGGCTTTAATTTATATAGCTATGGTAAGAAAATCACTATCTTTCTGCACGTGAAGTTCAATAACAAAACAGCTATAAACTTAATACCAGTTTTATCTGCAGAAAGATAGTAAATTTCTTACAACTGTGTGAAGGTGAAAACCCTTATGTGGTTTTACCTTTAAGCAGATGATATTGCATATGATAGGTTTGGTATCCTAATACCACTTAAGTACCTACATGGCAAAATAACATTTCCAGTTTGTAACACACAATAAATGAAAAGCGGCTTCACATTGTTTGTTGCGTATGCTCCATCTGCGTGTTAATATGTAATCTGAGACAAAAAGGTAAAAAAAACCTAACCTGAATAGTATAACTTCGGCCTTTTCAGTGAGAGTGAATAGACAATATTTAGGCAATAAATATATATGCTAGCGTTTATATATAAATTTGGATGTTATCATTCATTTATCTCATTCAATTAATAGCTTTCCTAATTAAACAAAAAGATCTGGTGGTAATATGACAAGCCAAAATCAATTTTGCATTATAATGAATACTCATATTAAGGTATTTCCTTATATTGCTGTTAAATTTAGATATATTATTTATTATTTAATTACCTGTGTCCAACATTGATCAAAATGAAGTACAAATAGGTATATTTGAATAAAGATATATGTAAATACTAATATTGCAATTTATACAGGTCAGTCAATAAAGGCTGTACTTATTATGTTATTCCATAAATTAGTTTCATAGCTACGTAAAACACGTGATTTGATATACACAATAAACAAATCAGTACAAATGCACCGAGCAAATACGTAACGATGCGTCTATATGCTCGCCTTTATGTCATACATTTGATACAATGTAACAGTTGAAGTGCTTCTAGAACATATAGAAAGATCTTTACACCTCGACACTCTTCGAATTGTGGTATAAAAAAAAGTACAATTGGAATGAAAACAATGTTTTTAAATCGTCTCAATTAGCTGGCATTCGTGAAAAATGCTCATTTCTATAAATACAACATGAAATACGTACCAATCTATTCTTCGCTATTTCATCGGAAGATAAATATGAAAAGATGTTCTCTAACGCCACAACAGGTAGACTTAGGAAATCCATACTGCTCATGGTGGCAAAATTAGCGAAAATGAAGCTCTATTTAACACATAACAATGTAGAAGTCAAAGAAAATCGTAATGTTTACATTAGACACAGTGCGACTGCTAAGTTTTCCTTCCCGACGTTTCTGAAGAATCAATCAAATGTCAAAAATCATTCAATATGGCATATCATTCGTTCTCCCACGTTTCGCAGTGAGTGAATGGAATACACCGATTTGGTCGAAGCTGCCTTTTTGCTCCAACCTTTTGTTTGTGTAGTATTTGACCCGCGATTTTCGATTTTTTGAAATTATTGCGGGTAGTTACTCATACACGAGGCAACTCGTTTGTACCACTCGCTTGGTTAGTTTGTCACAACACGTCATGTCATAAAAATGTCCCACCTCACACTTCACCTCATGTAACAGCCTCACTCATGTCATACTGCTTCGAATTCACCAAATGCAACAATGATTGATCCTGCACTGCCTGCTTTTTAGCTGATTTTACAACATAATATGATCATACTTCCATACTACTAAATAAAATTGGCATTTATTTATACTATATCATAACACTTTAGTTATCCAATTGACTGATACCATTAATATTTCCCGTCTGTTGAGTCATTGCCGTAGGTGCAAACAATCTTACCACTACCTCACCTACTTTGAAGTAGGACATTGAACCGCCTCATTTTTTCAAATGAGGTACTCCCTCAAACTCATTTTAATTTCAAGTCGTACCCAACACTAGCCTTTGGTTCCTTTATTTTTTCCATGATCTAAGGCGTAAAAAAGAATAACATGCGACTTTATATGATGAAAAAAATAATTGGTTTCCTTATTCTAAGCATTCAACAAAATAAGGCTTTTAATTATCAGAGGATAGGTAGAAATGAGTTTTTGAAACCTAGGAGTTTTGCCACTTAAATAAAAATAGATGGCGTTAGGTTTACGACCTACATACAGTTGATATTATATACTGCTGACCTATTATAAGACTTGTGATAAGGTAGTACAGGCAAATGCAACTCTAGTAGCCTTGTTTCTTTAATGTACACACGCCAGCACATCAAGCTACACATTGACGTATCTTGTTCCATTGCAATGAAGGCGATTTTCGAACAAAAATGTGTAGTCTGATGTGCCGTTGTCCGTACATACATACATACATACAATATGTATATAGTGTAATATATATACACATAGGTACAAATATATATATATATATATGTATATATATATATTTTATTTATGTATATATATATATGTAATATATATGGAATTTATGTATGTATATATATATATATATATATACATACATAAATAAGTAGGCAAAAAAAGCAATAAGATGATTACAAAGAGAGTTCAGCAGGAAAGTGCGCTTTCAACCTTTTCTTGAAAGACGCAACAGACAGGCTAGACTGGATATGGGAAGGGAGTCTGTTCCACAACTGCGCTGCACAAGAAGAAATAGAGTTAAAAAAGAAATTTGTTTTACAGCTAGGACGAACGAATATTATGAAACAAAATCAATATTGTATAAAACCGTAACTTTATTAATAAAATTTATTAAGAAGGGAGATCACAATGCTTTTTCTTAACATGAAAACGTAACGACGTATTATATTTTGTGGCAAATGGACACATTTCACATTTAAAGCGTTTTTCCGTTGAATGTTTGTATTTATGTTGCACTAAGTTTGCAGGCAGGATTGTAGCGTAATCACACTGATTACAAGAGTAACGTTTTTTCCCAGTCATATGGGCTTCTTCATGATATTTTAATATGTATTTGTTCATCGTTTGGAAGGGACACTGAGTGCATTGTAATTTGACACCAATTTCCGCATGCTTTTGTTTGTGTTTTTCCATTGCATCCTCATAGAAACTTTTATATTTACAACCAGAGAAATCGCAGTGTAAAGTTGTGGCGTTCTTGTGTCTCAACATATGCTGTGTCATACTGGCTTTGATTTTAGTTTTGTAATCACAAAATCTACACTGGACCTCAAAATTTTCCATATTATGTATTTTAATATGTTTCTGTAGATCAATTTCTGGAACCATTTCTCCGCACATTTGACATTGTGTGCATTTTGCAGTGTAATGATTTTGCTCATAATGTAATTTAAGATTCTCCCAGCTGGAGTATGTTTCTGGGCACTTTATGCATTGGAATGTTTGAATATCTCCATCTTCTTTTTTAACTACAACTATTGACTCCTTATGACCATGAGCAAAATTAACATGCCGACATAACTCAAATTCATTGGGAAACGGTTCGAAGCATTGTTCACATTTCTGCATCTCATCTTTTGCTTGGTCACTAACTGGATGCTTAAAAATCATATGTCGTTTATAACTCTCTTTAGTTTTTAATTCTTTTTTACAATATTTACAAGTGTATAATACTTTTAAATGAACTTTTTGTAAATGTGGTTTCAATTGCCGTTTTTCATAGAAACCTTCATTACAAATGTTACAAAAGAAAGTCTTTGGGGCGTCAATTTTGTGCGTACATCGCAAATGTTTGGCCAAACCTCCTTGCGACGCAAAAATTAAGTTGCATATTGGACATTCCTTGACTACTTTCACATGGGAATGATTTAAGTACATCTCTCTAGTATCAAATTGTTTATTACACACTTTGCAAAATGTTCCTTGAACATGTTTCCTTTTGATGTGTCGTTTCAGGCTTTCAACTCTATTGTATGACAGATTACAGAATTTGCATCTCAACCTGAAGTAATCCTTAAATGCATTATGTTTTCTTCTCATGTGTAATTTTAAGAAACTGATTGAAGAAAATATAAGGGGACATTCTTTACATGCTATTTCTCCAGCTTCGTTTCTGTAACTTTCAAAAAATTCTTCAGTACTTTTTGGTATCCCTTCATCATTAACTTGATGTTTCCTTTGGACATGCCTTGTGTAAGTTTCTCTTTTATTAAATATTTTAGGGCACGATGGACAACTATACCATTGATCTATGACAGGTTTGTTTTCTTTTGAATGCTTTCTCTGCATATGAACAAATAAACTTCTATATTTATCATAGGTTAGACCACACTCTGAACACACATGGGTAAACGATTCTTCGAAAGCATTGTGTTTTCTTCTCATATGCATTCGAAGTCTACTTTTGCCTTTAAACACCAACGCACATATGTCACAAGTCTGTTCCTGATGATCTTCAGCAGAAGCGTCAGGTCCGTGTTTTCTTTTAATATGTGCCATCAAACTGTTTTTCTGGTCATATGACATTCCACAAAAGTCACATATATGTATGAAAGAGCGACGGTATATTTTGTGCTTTCGTTTTTGGTGGATAAGTAGAGTCCTTTTAGATTGGAAGAATAGATGACATATTTTGCATCTGAAGTTGGGAGGTGCAGGTGCCTCCACTTCATCATCAACAGATTCAACTACATCTTGTATGGATTGGTCATTGACAATTTTTTCAAAAGTGAGGATGCAAGCTTCATGATTTTGTGGTTCAATTTTTACTGCTGGCTCTGGGCTTTCTCCAGAGGCACCCTCAACCATTAGGTCAGCACTGTCTGTAAACTGGAACAAATTTCTTTTTTTAATAAATATTTTAATTGATTCATTACACAATTGTAGGCAACTTTGATTATTTTAATGCCTACCCAACTTATACTCTAGCCAAATTCGATGTAAAATGTTTAATAACAAAATGTTGCTAGGCATCTAATGATGGCATAGGAAAAGTGTTTTTTTTTTTCAATGTTCATTATTAAGGCTTGCTCTGCCCACGGCCTGCTCTCGTAATTGGAATTTAATTTAGGTAAGTAGGTAATTGGGTTATGTAGAAATAATACTTACCTAGCCAATTATTATTATATATATATATATATATAATAACTGCCTCCGTGGCCGAACGGTTACCATGCCGGACTGCCACGCAGAGGTCCTAGGTTCGATTCCCGGGCCGGGAGAAATATTTGTATGGCCTACATTTATTTCTCTCGTGAGTTTGGGTGTAATTTGTGGTTGTCTATATGTGTGTCCATGGCACCCGCGACACAGGGTTTCCCTAGTGCGGGGCTATGTTGAGTGTGTGCGTTATTATTATTATCGTATTTATTTTAAACTCTCGCCTCTCCCAAGGCCTAAAAGATTATTATTATTATTATTATTATTATTATTATTATTATTATTATTATTATTATTATTATTAAGTTTACAAAATATCTATTGATACGTATGATTTACGAATAAATGTAAGTTTTTGCATTCTATTAATATTTATTTACTGCTAGATGGTAGGTAATGGTAGATGAAGTGATACAAAATTATAAGATTTTATTTGATATTAATTTACTACATATTATATCATCCAGCATCTATTTCCGATTCTGAACTTGAATTACCACTAGAACTTGTTTGCAATCTCTCCCTTAAATTCAAAAAGTCACCAGAGACGACACAGTTTTACAAATAATTAACTATTGGTAATTTTTTATGTCATTTTTATGTGATTTGAAAGTTCTGTTGAACAATATTCATTATAAACATGGCTTCAACATTTAATATTATTCATAACTTGAATTTGGTAGGAATATATTAAAATTGTGGCAACCGTGAAAGAATCTGAGATGAAAACCCTAAAAATCATGTTTTTGTTTGTTGACATTTATTCTACATCGAACTTGGCTAGAGTTTAGGTCAGTTAATTCTTGAATAAAATGTACAAGTACTAAGCAGACAAGCTATTGTTTCTATACTAAATTAATTTAAATTTAGTAGCTAAGGTAGAATACATAAATAAGAATAAATGTGGAAGTGTTGGACTTTAACAGTCATCATGTTGCATAATGAACAGAAGTCTGAGCAGATAGTAGAGTACACCAAGCTAAAAGCTAAATACCCAGCTGAGAGTCAAGCAGTTGGGAGTCCCGCCATAAAATGAATTTTAACTCGTTTGTGGTGAGAGTACCGACCAAACATCTGTCAACCCTCATGAAGAAAGAGTTTTGGCCAAAGGGTATGACAAGTGCAATTTGTGTACAGTACTTATTTAGTTTATTATATTGTTATAGTATATTATTATTGCATATAATGTTATATATTATATGGCCTATATGGGTAATGTGGTCTGAATTAAATTACTAAATAAAAAGTAATAAAAAAAATTAAGATCTACTGACAATGCAGACATGTCATGTGAAAACTCTGCACTGGCACCAGTACAGTATCTATACATAGTTACACAAAATATGATTGATGCTTGATACTTACATCATTAAAATCCAATTCTACTTCAATATTCTCTACTTTTATATTAACCTCCGGATCCAATGTCGGTTCTGTTTCAGTTTCCATAGCCAATACCCTCTGCGTAACTAAATATTTCTCTTCAATATCTTTAAATGGATCTTCCTGCTTTTTCTTCTTCTTTTTCTTTTTTTTCTTGATTTCATATGTCATCTCTTCTTGAGGCAGAAACGAGGTTGGATCTTGGCGTGCAGGAAAATTTTCTTCAATTTTTATTTTTAAATCTATTAGCTGATCCACCATTTTGAAATTATCTGAAATTCAAGGTTTTCGAGTGATCAAAAGATATTATATAAATTTTCTACCTTTAACACTTTTTTTTAATCTAGCTTTAAGAGGCCTGAAACATCCGGGCGTTTATGTCGGCCTCGTAATGTATGTAGTATTTAAAGGTAGCAAATTCCACATCAGGCTGCACCATAGGGGCATCATGTCCAGAAAGCTGGCAATGTTTTCCCTTTGGGTAGCTAAACTTATTCTTGCCAGTCACCAAGCAAGCTTTGACAGGGCAAACTAAACAACTAAGGAGTTTTTTAGATTGCAAGGATTTTGGACTACTCTGGCGCCGAAGTCCGCTCAACTCATGCTTGCGTTTCCCTTATTGGCAAGGGTCCTCAGGGTCTACCAAGTCGTTATCAATCAATTAAAAGAGATACAGATATTCATTACACCTACATTAAAGTTAATAAACACAATCAATCTCCATTTCGAGAGATCTGAATATCTAGAAAAATACCTATTTCGAGATGTTGAAAATCATCGAATTATACAAGCCTAAGCTGCCCTCCGATAATATACACACGTCATTTACATAACTTACCTATGTTTTACTTAAATAAAACATCAACATCGCAAACATAAAATTATTATTAACAGATTAATAAACAAGCCAACGGGCACATCAACTAGAAAGAAAACACAACACAACACTTATGCTATTTGGACACGTGAATTATTCATAGCAAAAATCAATAATTTATTCACATAAAAATGGATTATTGAAAATCAGCCGTCTTATCACGCCATTTTTGCAAACTTTGACAGATCATATTTATGTCTTATATTTTTTTAAATTATTGAGTCAGCCACTCCGGACGGATATTAGAGTGAATCATTCATTCATTCAATTTTATAAATACATTTTTATTATCTGCAGCACCAGTAATAACCGTGTAGCGGGAAAATTAAGCTTTGTATCAGTGACTCTTTGTCAAAGAGGATGGAAAAAAAATGGAAAAAAAGCTCCTTGTACAGGGTCAAGATTATGTGAAGCTTGTCACTTATGGTTTAAACCCATTCCATCCTCTAAGAATCCAACTCTATGCCGCTTACAATAAGAACGGTCCAAAGTACAAAGTATCAAGCTTGACGTGCTCTTGACTGTACCTACTCTAATCATGGACCCTTTTTTGTGTATAAATAAAATCATTGTCATGGACCAAATAAATAAATCCAGAGGATGGCTGTTCTCCATGCTATAGATAGGAACTTTGAAAAAGGTCAAAATCCCGTCTTATACGATAGATGACGCTGATCGGTAACTAGTTTATATTATGTAAATGGCAGAGGATATCAATTAATTGTTGTTTAATATGAATTGTTCTTTAAGTAGTCTGTTTTTTTCCTTATAGTATATTATTCAAATATTGATCATGAATTAAAATTCTTTTCTACACTTTAACAAATATGAATATAATACGAATATGAAAATATGCGTATTAGTACATGGCATTGTGTGTTATCCACAATTTAAAAACTAATGCTTGCTAACACGGGTAGATTGCGCTAATCCTAAATAAAATAAAAATGGCCGGCGCAGTATACATAAAAATGTATGCAATGAGCGCCATCTAGTTAATTTGTTTGTTATCACTAGAAATTAAAGAATCTCTTTTCAACGAAAAAATATAGTCAAATGCGAGTCGCATGTATAAGTTTTTAGATGTCCATCTCGTATGCAATAGCGTCGATGCTTGACTCCATATTTGCATAACACAAATTTGTACCTTAATATTGGGGAATAGAGATGAATATGCTATAGACGAAAAAGAAGACTAAAGGCTAAAGACTCTGCGTCATTGTGAGTTGAGCCTATGAAAGGTAACCGCACCGTTCCAAAAACACGGAAGACAAGAGACAAGGGAACTAGAGATGGGAAAAACTGCTTATTTTTTCAATCGTTTAAACGTTATGCTTTTTTAAAAAAAGCGTGTCCTTTTTTTTTAAACGCTTTTTCACTTAAACGTTTGAAGCTAACAAAATCGTTTAGAAAACGTTTAAGCGCATAGCTTTTTATGTTAAAAAAAGCTTGAAACGTTGTGTTGATAGCGAAATGCAAGAGTAGGCCACTAAAGGTTTTAAGATAAGTTTTTTGTAAAAATTTTATATATGACATAACATTATTATACTAACATTTTATTAATTGGCGTTTAAAAACACAAGTTGTTTAACTTTCGTAGTTAACAGTTGAAATGGAAAAAAATGCTTATTTGTTTAACGTTAAAACGTAGGTTTAAAAAGCGTGCTTGTAAAAGCGCTTTTCACTTTTATTTGTAAGTCAATGCTTAGACGCTTTTTAGTTTGACGCTTAAAAAGTCGTTTAGAAAGACGTTTTTTTAAGTTTAAGCGCATAGACTTCATGTTTAAAAAAGCTTGCAACGTTATGTTGAATTAATTTGTATAAGAAACGTAGATGGCGCTACTTGAAACTTAGGTACGTCGTAAAAAATGAAATTGTTGAGTATTTACGGAACTAACCAGCGACCAACACTTACGCTTAAAATCAAAAGCGTGCTTATGCGCTTATTTTAAAAAGCAGACTTCTTAAAGTGATTTTCGTTTATACGTTTATACCTCTAAATGGAACCGATGTTGCCAAAACTCACACATTCTTAATTTGAATCACTGTAAAATCTTTATGTTCATTGGTCGTACTTTCAAATTTAAAAAGAAATAAATTCTGAATTGTTAATATAATTTAAACTTTACCCTGTTGGCATATCGTTGAAAGTTCAATACCATCAATACCTATTATTACAAGTTACGACGTTTTAATATTATGTCGAAATTTCAATCAATGTGCTGCCATCTAGCGGTTCATTGCTTAACGACAACGGATTGAAGTTATTAATTTAATTCTCCAAACAAGAAGTGACCATATTGCAGGCCTATAAGCTTTAATATTTTCGTGTCTTGTAACAAAAAAAATATTTCGACAAACAGAAGAAAGGTTTTACTAAGGCCGCCAAGGCATGCAAAAGCATATTACGTACGGCCAAGTTCGACCATGTGCACCGCATAGAGGCCATACTTGCCTCTTATCCAGCAGGCAGCAAATCCTTTTGGTCCCTGGCCAAAGCGGTCGAATCTAACTTTTGTCGCCCATATTTGCCACCTCTGCTGAGGCCGGATGGCTCGCTGGCTCATACTGCGAAGAGAAGGCGAATCTCTTTGCCTCACTATTTGCAGAGAGTTCGCGTCTGGATGCAGTAGGGACCCTACCACCTACTTTACATTAGGCAGGCTGCACTATGGTGCCAGTTCGCATTCGCCAAAAAGAGGTACTTAGAACTCTGCGAAATCTAGACGTGAATAA